GTCCCCTCCCTTCCCGCCCCCCCGTTTCTCCTCTCTCTCCCTCTTGCTTGTCGCACCTCAACACATATGCACAGGTCCCGATACCCTCCGCAAGCTCGAAGATCGTACCTCCTGTCATACCTGCCCTTCAAAGTCATCTCCTCCTCCTCTCTCTCCCCTCCCCTCCCATTCCTCTGACCTGTTCTTGATGCTCGTGATGTTCAAGTACACCCCGTCACCGCCCTCCCCCCTTCCTGACTGTACCACACATCCATCACATCCCGCGTAAGCCCCCCCTCTCCTCTATCACCTCCACGTCTCCTGCCGCCTCATCCTTCTCCTCGCTCATCGGCCCGCTTAGCCCTGCCGCCACCGCCGACATCGACCGCACTTGCCTCACCCACTCCAGCACCTCCTCCACCGACTTCACCACCACTGTACACCGCACCAGGTCCGTCAAGCACGACGGGTCCCGGTGGTACGACCTCACGGTCTTCTGGATGGCTCGCTCGCAGGACTTCACCTTCCCGTGCTCCATCCTCCCCACGGGGTTCCACCCGCTCACCCAAAGCTGGAACGCCGCGCTCACCTCGTGCGCTTCCTCGAACAGCTTCTCCAGGCTCTTGCTCTCCTGCCGGATCTTCTTGCTCCTCACCGAGTACCGCGACGCCCGCTTGCCCATCGCCCTTGACCGCACCCTCTCCCACAAGCCCCCCTCCCGTCTACTCCATGCCCCGAGCTTCTGCGAGATCTCCAGCACTTCCCTGCTGATCTCCTCCAGCTTGTCCGTTGACGAGGACACGACCTTGCTCCAGGTCTTCTCGAAGCCCTCCATCGCCGCACTGAGATCCTTATACGTCTGCCGGTACGACAGCGAGTACTTCACGACGATGACGATGACGATGATCCACGAAATAACGCCAAGAACGACAAACATCGGCTTGGTGTTCTCCCGTATTGTGAGCCCGTCTCTGATGCAGTAAGCTCCTTGCAGCACAAACACTACGATCCAGGCATAATGCTGCATGAAGTGCACAAAGTACAGCACGATCGAGACGCATGCTATCAGTATGAACGACGACAGCCCGCTACAACCCGGCCATGAAACAGCATCCTTTACATCGCACTGAATGAAGTCCGAAGCCGATGAGATGATCTTCAGCCATACAATCAGATGTCCGGATCCTACCAAGACACGCTTGGCGTTCAAGGGCGTGCTAAACCTACACGTCACGATCGCAGACAGATACAGCGTACCCCATAGGAAACTCAGAAATGAGTCGATCACTTTCGACACTTGCACCGTCCTCGGTGTGAGGACCTCTTTTGTTTCGGGAAATTGCATCCAGATTGTGTGCCCTTCTAACATCCGCTGTACCATCACTGCCCCGAACAACAGCTGCGTAATTCCAGCAAACGCGATGCAGCACTGCGCGGGCGTCTTCAGCAGCGCTGTCTCCAGCGCGTTGCTCGACCTCAGCGCTAGTATCCCGTCCACGTCGTCGTCCCGGTACACTCGCAGCCTCGTGTTCAACGGCAGGAAACGCTCGTCCTCCGCACAGCCCCTCACCATCTCCCCTATCGCCTTCACCGCCTCGTCGTAGAAAGCCTCCTTCGCTCTGTTGATCCCCTCGCACGTCCCCTCGCAGTCCTCGCACGCCCTCGCCCTGCTCGCCGACGTCATCGTGCTCACAGCTGACAGCCGGTCAAGCGAGTCGATACTCCGCAGCGCAAAGAACTCGTGCAGCAGCTCGTACGTCTTCGTCTCTCGCAGCACCTGCAGCATCTCTATCCCCCGTGGGTTGTGCTTCTCGAAGTGCCATACCTGCCCTGCTATCTGGGCCCTCAGCTCCTTCACAAGATGCTCCTTCAGCATCCCCCCCGCTTCCTCCGCGCTCCTCCTCACGTCCTGCT